CAAGACCCTAGCTCAAAGAAAATATATACATATATGTAATGAAGACAACAAGTTCATCTGTTCTCATCTTTCTGCATCCTGGCTCTCCACACAACCCACACACTCATGCCCCTTTTGCTACAAGGTCTATAATAAAGTGGTGCCAGCTGCTATCTGGGTACCTGTTTCAATGCTGTACACACCTGTTTCAACCAGACATTTGTTGTCATTAGCTGATTTTTCTCATCCTATAAAATAAAAAGTTTATTTCAGTTACATAAATTACAATTTTTAAATAATAATTTATATATTGTGACAGTTACTTATAGATCTTCATTGCTAACCTGCGTGCTTTTCTGAGTTCTAACTCAAAAAGTTTAACTTCTCTTGACTATTATCCAAAATCCTACCCACACTTTCCCCAACTCTCTGGGCTTTCTCGCTGTTTTTCTGAAGATCCAGCCCCCCTCTACAGCTGCTTGGAGACTTCTATTGCTGACCCTAACTCAAAAGGCATGACTCCTGGTCGCCATCACCCTCCCAGCAGCCACTGGAACTTATGGCTTGCCTGCCCTGTTGTATTTCTCTCAAACTCTAATAAAATGGTCCCTGAGCTTTAAAAAAAAAGAAGAATTTGTACATTTTTGTGCAAACTCCTCTCCATACAGAATTTATATTCTGCTCATCAATCTGGTTCTCTAGAAAACTACAATTTTTTCCAGCCTAATCTTACATTATTCCTCTCAAGCTACTCTACAGTTCAGATAAACTACCCTAAAGCATACCGTTGGCAATTCTATACTTCATTTGCATGGTCTCAACTACTATATTTCTTCAAATTAAGACAAAATCTAATACAAAAACACAGCATTATATACTTAGCTCTAAAGGGAGGGCAAGAGGGAGTGCATGTGTCACCATACCCAGGCAGCCTTATTTAAAGAAGGGAGAAATTCAGATGTTTATATGCAAACATCATCATCATCATCATTATAAAAAAACTGGACAATTTTCTGCAACAATAGGAATATGAATAAATTATGTACAGGTTTTCATGTAGAGGGAGAAAGGCAGTCAGCAAAATGTTATCAAACATACCAATTTTGTAAAACACACACAAAGAAAAAATGGCAAGAGCCACAACAAACTGGATTTTTGGTTTTTGTACATTTGTTTGTTTTGTTTGAGACAGGCACAGGCTAGTCTCAAACTCTCTATGTACCAGAGGATGACTTTGAACTCCTGATCCTCCTTCCATTTTCCAGATTCTGGGACTATAAGTGTGTACCAAGCCCCACAAGAAATTCTTAACATTAATCATCTATGAATGAAACCATTAGAATCAATTTTTATTGTTTTTTTTTTTTTTTGCACTTTGCAAGTTCTCTATAAGTCATCATTAGGAAGCCAAGCATGGTGGTGCACGCCTTTAATCCCAGCACTCAAGAGGCAGAGTCAGGTGGATCTCTGTGAGTTCAAGGCTAGCCTGATCTATACAGTGAATTCCAGGCCAGCTGGAGCTACAGGGAGACCCTGTCTCAAAAAGACCAAAAAACAAAAACAAAAAGTCATGCATTAGGGCTGGAGAGATGGCTCAACAGTTAAGAGTATGGGCTACTCCTGCAGAGGACCTGGGGTTTGGTTCCCAGTACCCACATGGCAGCTAACAACTGTCCTAATTCCAATCCCAGGGGGTCTGACTCCCTCTTTTGACCTCAGTGGGCATTGTATAACACAAATGCACTTACATACATGCAGACAATGTTAAGATACTTTTTGGTACTCAGACTCTATAGTCCTGTTCTTGGACTATTTCTCAAATGTTTTCATCACATTCTTAAATACATTTAAGAAGGAATTTCAATAGAAAATGCTTCAATATCTTTAAATTTGTTAAAGATAAACCTATTGAGGGCTGCAGAGATGGTTCTGTGATTAAGAGCACTGGCTGCTCTTGCAGAGGACCTGGGTTTGAATCCCAGCACCCACATGGCTGCTAACAACCATCCTTAACTCCAGTTCTGGGGGAATCAGATGCCCTCTTCTGACCTCCGAGGGTCTTTAAGGACATGGGTTACATACATGCAGGCAATACACTCACACATAAAATAAAAATAATATTTTTAAAAAGATAAACCTATTACTAACAAATAGGATAAAAAACAATTGCTAAACTACACATCATACAAACACAGAGTATTACTATGTCTACAGCAGAGCAGTGACTCCCCCCATCCCAGAGAGTTCCTTGGGGCAAAGGGCTACATCTGGTTACCTTGGTAACCCCTTGTGCCTGACATGTACCTGGGTACAAACCAACCCTCCCTAAACTGGTGTGAAATGGAACATGTAATGACATGCACACTTACCACATCCACCAACTGAGATATTGCAAGGCCAAACTTGATTTTTATTTTGTCATTCAGGTGTTCCACAGGACGAACCCATCTTTCATAGTCTTCAAATAAATCCTTAAATAAACTGTCTTCATGTTTTGCAACAAAGGATGGTTCAGGTAATCCTGTACAACAAAATTTTAGAAATCAGCATGCTAGCTTCTCTCCCACCAAATGCTTATACTTTAAGAAAATCAACATTATTAATTGGCCAATTATATTTATAGTGACCAATTAAAATTTAGGTCACTAGTGTATTATCTTTTAAAAAAAAATACCTTACTTTTATTTTATATGTATGAGTGTATTGCCTGCATATCATGCAATGCCTGCAGAGGTCAGAAAAAGGTGTCAGATCCCCTGGAACTGGAGTTACAGACAGCTGTTAGCTGCCAGTGAGTGCTGGGAACTGAACCCAGGTCCTCTGCAAGAGCAGCCAAGGCTCTTAACCGGAGTCATCTCTCCAGCCCTGTTTTTTGTTTTAGACAGTTTTCCTGTACACCCAGCTGGCCCGGAACTTGCTAAGTAGACCAGGCTGGCCCCGATTTCACAGAGATCTGCCTGTGCCTGTCCCTGCCTCCCAGGTGCTAGGATTAAAGATGCATACCATTATGGCCGGCTATTATCTTGTTTCCTGAGACAGGATATCATGCAGCCCAGGCTAGCCCTGAACTCCTGATCCTCCTGCCTCCATTTTCCAAGTGCTAGGATTATAGGCATGTACCACTGTCCTGGTTTGTTTCTTCATTGTTATGACAAAACACTCTGACCACTACCAACTTGGGGAGGAAAGGGTTTATTCAGCTTACATCTCCCAGGTCACAGTTCATCAGGGAGCCCAAGGTAGGAATTCAGGGCAGGAACCTGGAGGCAGGAGCTAGAGCACAGGCCATGGAGGAATGCTGCTTACTGGTTTGCTCCCCTGGCCCCTGCTCAGCCTGCTTTCTTATGCAACATAGGCCCACCTGCCCAGGGGTGGCACCACCCACAGTGGGCTGGGCCCTCCCACATCACTCATCAAGAAGATGCCCCTCAGACATGGCCACAGGCCAGTCCAATAGAGGCAATTCCCCAACTGAGGCTCCCTCAACCCAGGTGGGTCAAGTTGACACTAAAGCTATCCAGCACAACCACCATATCCATCCAGCTTCTGATGTGCCTTTAAAAGAAATAAAGATTTCTTTAAAAAAATTTTTTTTATTATTTTTATTTTATGTGCATGTATGTATTTATTGTCTCATGTAGGTAAGTCCACCCGTGTCATACAATGCCCACACAGAGGTCAGATGAGGCTGTCAGATACCCTGGAACTGGAGTTACAGACAGTTGTTAGCTGCCATGTGGGTGCTGGGATTTGAACTCAGGTCTTCTGCAAGAACAACCAGTGTTCTTAACCACTGAGCCATCTCTCTAGCCCATAAAAAAATAAAGATTTCTTTTTAATTACATGTGTTTGTGTGGGGTATGTGCACATGATGTCTCAAAAGGCCAGAGGTGTCAGATCTCCCTGGAAATGGAGTTACAGGCAGTTGTGAGTTGCCCAACATGGGTGCTAGGGATTAAATTCTGGTCCTCCAAAAGAACAGTACACACTCTTAATGAATGAGCCATCTCTCTAGTCCCCTAATGTGGCTTTTTAAATAAAATATTTTAAAAATGTAGCTTTTTAAATGAAATATTAATACAAACAAATTAGAGCCATTATGGTTCAGATATAATTCTTAGTTAAAATCAGATTGCTCATTCTGGAAATATGCTGAGTTCCTTAAGAAGTATTGAGTACTCAATGCTGAGAGTAATTTTAAAAATCTAAGTAATAGGGCTGTGGAATACAGCTCAATAGTGAAGTTCAAGAGTAAGGCTGTGGGTTCAATCTCTCCCACTGCAAAGACACAAAGTAAAAGCTTTCCAATTGTCAGAGCTACATCAGAATTCCAACCCTAAAAAACAGATGTACCTAAGCAAAATCATTTATGGCTTTAATCCCTCTTGACCCTTCCTTACTCCTGACCCAGAATAATGTATATTTTTAAAATATCAAGTCCTGAAAGCAGTGCACAATCATTGGAAGCAATGAATTATCTCAACTAGGTTGTAAGCAAGAGGTGGGATTAGATGAACAACATCTGCTTGCGGTTGTGTGTGCTGCTCTGGGTTAGTAAGAGTCAGGCAGGGAAAAATCCTTTGATAAATCTGTTTCTTCCTTTCATCATGTTTCAATAAAAAGAGAGCAACGCCTTTGTTCAGGAGGGAAGTTCTGAGAGAAATCTGAAGGAACAAGGTTTCAGAACAGACTGAGGTCCACTATGGTATTAAAAGATGCTGTCAGGCTATTTTGTTCATGCATTGTCATAATGTGGCATTGCACTGCCACAACTTGGCATAATTTTATATATAAAATAGTGAATGAGGGGCTGGAGAAAGGGTTCAGGGGTTAAGAGCACTGGCTGCTCTTGCACAGAACCCAAGTTCTGTTCCCAGCATGGAATCCAGTTCCAGGGGCTCCTCTTCTGGCCTCTGCAGACGCCGCATGCATGTGGTACACTTACATACACACAGATAAAACACACATACACATAAAAATATTGCAAAATATATTGAATGAGTTAGTTAAATTTGTCTTGGTACACAATTTTATAAGACTGCTTTAGGGCTTAAGTCTTAAGGAGACACAGCAAAGAGGATCCTAAAAATCCTAGTCTAGTTACACATTTATTTATAATAGTGAATCCTACAAGGTCACTCCCAAGGGCATAATCACAACCTTCTCCAAAATGGTCCCCTGCCAGTTGTTTCCCATCACAGTGAGTGGCTCCACCACCTGTCTGGTTCTGTAACCTAAAAACGATGAGTTATCCTCATTACTTTCTCCCTTATCCATATACACAATCCATTAGGATGCTATTAACTTTAGCCCTAAGTATTTCTCAAACACACTATTTCTTACTTTCTTGTTGCTGCCAGCCTACCACAAGCTATCTGTATCCCTCACTAGGACTAGAGCATGTCTCCTAAAGCTGGTATCTAAATCAGAGGGGACTGACCCACTATGCTCTGGAGCACTGAGCAGGTGTTAAGTAGTGTTAAAATCAGTTATCAGGAGCTAGAGAGATGTCTAAGAGCACTGGCTGCTCTTGTAGAGGACCCAGGTTCAGGCCCCAGCACCCACATGGTAGCTAACAATGTCTGTAACTCCAGCTCCAGGGGATTCAACACCCTCTTCTGACCTATGCAGGCAGTGTATAATACAGGTGTACACATGCAAGCAAAATACTCATATACATAAAACTAATTTAAAAATTTTAAGATATCCATTATCACTACTAGTATTAATGATAAGGTTTCTAAATTTATATTGTAAGCTGGGCATGGTGGCGCACACCTTTAATCCCAGCACTCAGGAGGTAGAGGCAGGCGGATCTCTGAGTTCAAGGCCAGCCTGGTCTACATAGTGAGTTCCAGGCCAGCTGCTACGACAGGGAGACCCTGTCTTAAAAAGACCAAATAAGGGGCTGGAGAGATGGCTTAGTGGTTAAGAGCACTGATTGCTCTTGCAGAGGACCTGGGTTTGATTCCCAGCACCCACATGGTGGCTACAAACCGTCCTTAACTCCAGTTCCAGGGGAACCTGAAGCCCTCTTCCGTGGCATTGCAAGACACAGGTGCACTCACATACATGCAGGCAACACACTCATACACATAAAATTTTTTTAAAAGACCAAATAAATAAATATTTATATTGTAATCACTCTTAATGCCATTTGCTTATAAATCAGTAGATTTGGGTGGTGGGGAAATTTGACTCCCTAATTAGCAAGTCTTGAACTCTCCTTTGCTGCTAGGGCTGCTTTAAGCAAAAGGATTAATGGGTCTAACAACTAACCAGATTACCCTTATGCCAGCACCAGCTACCTGCACATTCCACAGATACTATAAGAAAACCATAGGATGACTGCAGCTGATAGCTCTGGTTCTTGAAGGTGCAGTCTTAGGGCTTTTTGAAACTATACTAGATGCTTTGCTTCCACAAGTCCCAATGAACCTAGATGACCCTACAACCATTTCCACTTTGGCCAGAGGGGAGAACTTCCACTGGTAGTTTAACAGAGGGACTGCCTTGATTGGGGAGATGGTTTAGGGGGATAAAGGAGCTTGCTGCCAAACTTAGTGAGCTGAGTTGGATCCCCAGGTCACACATAGTGGAAGGAGAGAACAGACTCCCACAAGTTTGTCCTGACTTCAACACACAAGCACTGTGGTGCATAATCATGACGTGTACAGAAGAGATAAAAAAGAGAGAGAGAGAGAGAGAGAGAGAGAGAGAGAGAGAGAGAGAGAGAACACGAATGTAATTTTAAAAAGGAGAGGCAATACTGTAATTGGCCCAAATAAATGGTTCAAACAAATGGCTCTGATTGGTCCAAACCTTGAGCTGTAGAAGCAGGCTGCTCAGGCTCAGTGAGACTCTGACGGAGAGACTCTCCTGTGTTGCCTCTCTTAGTGCTACAGCAAAAGGCCCAATGACAGGCTTCTCTTGAGTAGTCTTTAACTGCCTGCTTTCCGTAGGGCAGGCTGAGCTGGTGATACAAAGGCAGAGGGGGCCGACAGCAGTAAACTAAGCTGTGACTAATTGAAAGCTGAAGTAGTGTGGGTCCTACCAGTGGTCCTGGCAACAGAGGCCCAGCCAGGCTCCCTGGCCTCTTGGATGGCCCTGCCAGGTTCTCTGGCTCCAAACTGTCCCAGTGGAAGCAGGCACCCTGAATAGTCCCAGGAGCAGCCAAGTTGTGGCAGCTGAACAGTTCAAGAGCAACTAGGGCTGAAAGAAGGAAGGCAGCAGAAATAGAGAAGTAAGGACAGCAGAAAGAGGAAACGAAGGATAAGGGCTGCCAAGAGCCAGAGAAGTGAACCTTCTGGTTGCCAGTTACAGAGAGCCACCAAGTCTTCAGGACCAAGGGTCTTGAACCCCGAACGGAGAACTGTAACCTTGGTCACTGCCAAGGGTGGAAGTTCTTGATACTCAAGGCCTGCCTGAGGACTATAACACCACTTGCCACTGTTTGCCTACTATGGCTGCCAAAGAAAAGATGTGGGAGACCAGCATTTGAGGAGCTTCTCTTTGCCTACC